CGGCACAAAAAAAAAAAAAAAAAAAAAAAAAAAAAAAAAAAAAAGTAGCAGGCTGTTTTTTGTTTGCTCCATGCTGTGTTTAAAAGAAAAACAGCAATATTTAAAAATCACTCAGTGTTCTATAACTGAGAACAGAAAGATCAGATCTGGAAAGACTGGGCTCAATTTCGACCTGGCAGCAGTTAGCCCCCTCCCCCAAACCCTGTCCCTAGGTGGCCGGCCCTGCCCCTGTCCGCTGCCTGCCCTGCTCCTGTTGGCATTCAAACCTGCAAACCACCATGTGGCACATTTTGGAACCTATTTCTTAATAAAGTAAAGAATAGCTAGGTCTGTGGGTATTTATAAGCTTGAAAGGCCTGGCTTCGGGCAGACTGGCCATCCTTTGTAAGCCTGGGTGTTTATCTGATTGAATGCCCCCAAAGAACTGTTTTAATCAGATAGCAGATTCATGCATGTTCTTGTATTTCATATGCATCCTGCTTTTGACAGGAATTCAAGGCTCTTTAGCCTGTCTGGCGTAATTCCCAAGCACACATTCCCAGGTACAAAGGGAAGATTATTAAAGCTTGTCACAGGTGGTTCATTGCTGACCAACAAATGATGAAAAAGCCCTTTCATGGACAGCTCTGACAAGAATTCTTCAGATGGGCTTTTTTTTTTTGGAGGCGGAAGGGTGGAGCAGAAGCCTCTTTTTTTAAATTTCCTGACCCAAACCAGATGCACAGCTGACTCGTGGAGCCCAGATCCCCCGCTCCGGCCCTTTCTTGGTTTCCAGCATTTGCTTTTGCCTCTCATTTATTTGTTCATTCATTTACCTTACGAGGTTTCTTTTTCTGCTGCTCTTCTGACCTCCGGATAGTCTGACCCGAGGCCCCCTGAGACCCCAGCTCCGGCTGTTAAGGACAGCGAGACTCAAGACCCTGAGATTGGGGACTTCCCTGGCGGTCCAGTGGTTAAGACTCCATGCTTCCACTACAGGGGGGATGCGGGTTTGATCCCTGGTCAGGGAACTAAGATCCCACCTGTGGTGTAGTGCGGCCGTAAGAAAAAAAAAAGACCCTGAAATCCTTTCTGATTTGGCAACACAGGATGATTCTTTTGAATTGAAGCTCAGACCCTCTAGCAGAAGCAGCCTCATTTACATCATCTTGTTTCAGGAAGGGACGCAGTCGTCCCACCTGACCGCTGAAGTGTGTGTCCCCGCTGCTGTTGAGAAGGGTTAGTGAGCTCCCCAGTTCTAAACTGCTCTCTTCTCAGTAGGACCTGGGGCATTTTATATGTTCTGGTAGAAAGCAGCTTTAAATTAAAGCTGACTTAATGTTAAAGTCGGAATAAGGGAGTGTAAGGTGAGAAAGAAAGGCCCCCCTGCAGGGCTCATATCCTGTTGGAATCAGCCCCCAAGGGGACTTGCGAGGTTTTGATTAGGACCTTGGACCCAAGGGCTGGGAGATGGGAGGCGGGGCAACCAGCACAGTCAGAGTGGGTTCCTTAACTCCCTCGAGGGGTTTGCTGTGAAGAAAGCATGGTTAGAAGATGTTTCCATTCAGCTGTAATTCATGCTTCCCCGGGAACACTTGTCACTGTTGATCATTTCAGATTCATGGTTCAACTTCCCCTCCAACGCAGTCCTGTGGGGTCCACCGCAGGGGGACCCAGGCTGGCCAAGGCCAGAACTGCCTCTGTGGCCCTGAAAGCCACTTCCCGTTCTGGAGTTTCATTCAGATCCTTTCTTGATTGAAGTTAAGAACAGGCTTTGGGGGAATTAGTGTATCTCCTTGAAGCCCAGTATCAACAGACTCTTCACATCTTTTTAGAGCAATTAAATACGTTTTTAAGGGGTGAAACAACAGCTGTTTAAAAGCAAAAGGATGAAAAATCCTTTCCCTAGTAGTCTTGTTGGAAAGCATCCGAAGAGGAATTTCCTTTTCCTTTGTTCCTAAACTGCTATGTAGAGGAGGATGTAAATTTAGTCAAGCTACGTATTTGTAATACTCTTGTGTTGGGATATTTATTTACTTAATTAAAATTAAAAATATTAAAAATAAAAAGTGCGTGTACACGCTAAAATACATCAGCGGTGTATAGACGAGTGAGGTAATTTCTCTTCATGTGTATCATACCGTAAGCATTTTAGTGCACGTACCCAAGGTTTTTAATATTTATATGGATGGGATTTTAAAATTCATATCAGTGTTTACTGATTTGTTCATTTTAAATTTGGAAAGAAGATTGTTAGCAGATAGGACAGGCCCTATTGAAATTCAGAGTGATTAGATGAAACAACTATATGAAGGAGTTTCCAAAGACTTAAGCAGGTTAATAGCAAAACAAACAAACGAAACCAAACTTGATTAGCCTTTTCTTTTGGAGGTGGAGGTCACTGGGGATTAGGAGGTGGGCACCTTTGGGGGCTGTTACTATGCCTACCACGCCCCCCCCCCCCCCCCCCCC